CCAGGTCTGAACAGGGAGAGGGTATCTATAGAACACTCAGCACCTGCCACTGACTGTAAGTAGTGCTCTGATTTGGGTCTGAACAGGCAGCAAATATCTATTTATCACTCAGTAGATATCACTGACTGTTAAGCTGGCTATACACCTATAGATTGTCTGCAGAGTTTCTATGGTCAGATGGAAAAAGTGCAATAAATTCTTCCATCTACGCTAAACTGTGGGAATGGAGGAATCTCCCGCTGGGCCAAGCTTCAGTATCTTGCTAGTCGGCCCCCGCTGGCTCTCAGAATACCTGAACAATGCCTGCATCCAATCAGATTGTTCAGGTACTTTGGGAGCCAGCGGGGGCCGACTGGCAAGATACCGAAGCTTGGTCTAGTGGGAAATTCCTCCATTCCCAGTTTAGCGTAGATGGAGGAATCTGTTGCACTTTTTCCATCTGACCAGAGAAAATCTGCAGATAATTGTAAGGTGTATGGCCAGCTTAAAGAAGAACTATGATGTGAGTGATTTTCACTCAACCTCATAGTTTAAGCCGACGTGCGACAATGAGACTGTCACACGTCGGCTCAATAGATCGGGAAGTGAGCAAACGCATACCGTTGCTCACTCACCTCCCTGCAGAGAGCCGTGACTGTCACTCACGGCTCCTTGCAGGGATTCCCCTCTCCCCTCCAGTGCTGACTGGCAGAACGGACTGGGGATGGGCGGGTACAGCTGGCTCTGCCTCTAGATAGGCAGAGCCAGCTGTCACTCACGCAGCTGGGTGGATCTCGACAGTAATGTCGGGATCCGTCCCGGCTGCTGCAGTCTCAGTATACCGTGAGCTGTAGCTCGCCATATACTGAGCTTTGGGTCACGGGAGGACGCTAGTTTATGTCCTCCCGTGACCATTAAGAGAACTATGTGGAAAAACACTTATCCCATAGTTCTCCTTTAAGTCCTGCTCTGATCCAGGTCTGAACAGGGAGCAGATATCTATTTATCACTCAGTAGATATCACTGACTGTAAGCTGTTCTCTGATCCAGGTCTGAATAGGGAGCCAATGCCTCTATATAACACTCAGAAGCTGTCACTGACTGTAAGTCCTGCTCTGATCAGGCAGCAGATATTTATAGAACATTCAGCAGCTGTCAGTGGTTGCAATTCGTGCTCTGTTCCAGATCGGAATGGAGAAGTATTACCAGCCCAACAAATCTGTACTGGTCCCAAAGAGTAAATGGGCCCCCAGTCCCCCCTCCATTGGCACATATGTATGGTTTGATGATTCCTCTGGGAGCTGAGTGTCAGACAGTGATACCCCTCTATGACTGCAGACAATGGTCCCCCCTCATCAGCCGCCCAGGCCAGGGTAGTGGTGTGAGTGAGTGGCAGCCATGTTCCAGCATTTGTATCTCCTGCCATGCCGCCCCTCCTTCTCTTGCCCTGGAAGCACGCACAGGACGAGGAGGAGGATCCACACTCCCAGCACCAACTTTACACCTTGTGTCTGCCGGAACAACGAGGCATACCGCCGCCAGCACCGATCGCTAATCGTCCGCCCACAGCCCGCCCCCCGGATCGCTGTGATCACAGGAGCGGACGGTGCATGTGTCAGGCTGTGATTTCTACACGAGGGGGAGGAGGAGAGATCAGAGTGCACGGCCCGGGGATTCCTGATCAATATGGACTGACTGCTACCTCCCTGATCCCATCAGATCCCCATGGCTACTGACTCCCGGCAACACTGAGGGGGGAATACCGTCCTCATCATCGCTCGGCTCTCAGGAACAAGTAACTTATGTGCGGCTATTGGAGAGGATCCAGGTAAGAGCCCATACCGAACGGAGCGGTGACGTGTAGGTGTGTGTTTACATGTATACGATGTGCTGTGAGCGGCAGCCTTTCCTCTCTTATTGTTCCCTGTCCTGCTGGGCTGGGATCGGGAAATCCCGAGACTAGGCCATGCATCCCACCCCTTCACTGCTCTTCCTTCCTGATCCAGCCCTCAGGAAACAGCCTGACCAGGCCATACGGTGCGGCCAATGAGTCATGGAGGTGTCCTGGCCGGGTGCAAGGCAAAACTTCGGGGTAACTTCGGTGACCTCAACTTAGTGTGTGTGTTAGATGTCAGAGAGACCGGCCATCCATCTGTCCCTTATAACTTACTAGACCATTGGAATGATGTACTCAGTGTCAGGAGGAGGCTGCCTGCCAGACACCTGTGTGTGGGGCGTGCTCACCCGCAGACCCAATCACTGATGACCTGTGCGCGGGGCGTGCTATCCCGCAGACCTGTGCGCGGGGCGTGCTCACCCAATCACTGATGACCTGTGCGCGGGGCGTGCTCACCTGCAGACCCAATCACCGATGACCTGTGCGCGGGGGCGTGCTATCCCGCAGACCTGTGCGCGGGGCGTGCTCACCCGCAGACCCGACCACTGATGACCTGTGCGCGGGGCGTGCTCACCCGCAGACCCGACCACTGATGACCTGTGTGCGGGGCGTGCTCACCCGCAGACCCGACCACTGATGACCTGTGCGCGGGGCGTGCTCACCCGCAGACCCGACCACTTTTGACCTGTGCGCGGGGCGTGCTCACCCGCAGACCCGACCACTGATGACCTGTGCGCGGGGCGTGCTCACCCGCAGACCCGATCACTGATGACCTGTGCGCGGGGCGTGCTCACCCGCAGACCCGATCAATGATGACCTGTGCGCGGGGCGTGCTCACCCGCAGACCCGATCAATGATGACCTGTGCGCGGGGCGTGCTCACCCGCAGACCCGATCAATGATGACCTGTGCGCGGGGCGTGTTCACCCGCAGACCCGATCAATGATGACCTGTGCGCGGGGCGTGTTCACCCGCAGACCCGATCAATGATGACCTGTGCGCGGGGCGTGTTCACCCGCAGACCCGATCAATGATGACCTGTGCGCGGGGCGTGTTCACCCGCAGACCCGATCAATGATGACCTGTGCGCGGGGCGTGTTCACCCGCAGACCCGATCAATGATGACCTGTGCGCGGGGCGTGTTCACCCGCAGACCCGATCAATGATGACCTGTGCGCGGGGCGTGCTCAGCCGCAGACCTGTGCGCAGATGCAGTTAGTGTCCTGACCAAGATTCAAAGGCCCATAAGGAGAGCACGCACAAGAACATGCATCTACAGCAGCGGTTCTCAACCTTTCTAGTGCCGCGACCCTTTGATAAAATTGCCCAAGTTGTGGCGACCCCTAACAGTGAAATTATTTTCGTTGCTCCTTCATCGCTGTAATTTTGCTAACGCTGGATAGCGGCTCTCGGCCGCCCGGGAGAGAAACGATTTCTCCTGGAAAGGTTTACTCTGCTCGATTGAGCAGAGCAAACCTTTCCCTGCTCTGGTTTTGTTTTGTTTTCTTTCTGACATCAGAGCCGCCGGCCACCGTCAGTCAGGGAAAAAAAACAGCATAGGAATGCATAGCTAGATTCCTATTGGCTATGTCAATTTGCAATATCCATTAGGAAGCTGGCTATTGCACCCGCCCTCTGCTGCTGTCATTCACTAGCAGAGGACCTGATGGAGAACTTCAGGTCCCCCACTGCTGATTGACAGCAGCAGTGGGCCGGTGCAATAGCTAGTTGGTTATTGCAAAGTGAAATAGCCAATAGGAATCTAGCTATGCATTCCTATGCTGTTTTTTTTTCTTTTTGTCTGGCGGCCGGCGGCTCCGATGTCAGGGGGGGAAAAAAAAACAGAGCAGGGAAAGGTTTACTCTGCTCGACCGAGCAGAGTAAGCCTTTCCAGGAGAAGGTATTTCTCTCCCAGGCGGCCGGGAGCCGCTATCTAATAGCGAGAGACTCCCGGAGCGTCCAGGAAAGTTGGAATGTCTTTAGGCGACCCCTGGCACATCGTCATTCGACACACATGTTGAGAACCGCTGATCTAGAGTCCAGCCTGGGACTTGGAGACAATGCAAAAACTCCATGCAGGTAGTGTCCTGGCATGGATTAAAAGTAAGGAGAACGTGCAAACTCCAAGCACATGGTATCCTGGCTGGAAATCAAACCAAGGACCACAGGGAGAACATGCAAACCCCATGCAGATAGTGTACTGGCCAAGATACAAAGGACCATAGGGAGAGCATGCACAGGAAGAACATGCATCTAGAGTCCTGTCCAGATTTTGAACTGAGAACCCCGGTCCTGCAAAACAGAATTGATCACCACTAAACCACTGTGCTGCTCCTTTCTACTAGCCTGAGGTCATTAAGAATAAAGTTGATCTAAAGCTGAAACTTCGTATTATTTTTGATAGATTAGGGAAGGGTTGATACCCGTCGGCTGTATTGTTTCTCTGCCTGTGCACTGTTGTGAAAACCCTTCACTTCCTGTCTCAGAGACGCCAGCAGAAGTCAGACGAATTCCCCTCTTAGACAGTTGTCACCAGAACAGGTCCTCATTAGAAGATTTCTCATCACCTCTTGTTCTGGTGACAACTCACAAAATGTTGGATTTCCTTTCACTTTCTGTCTCAGTGACAACAGTCATAAGGACAGAGTGGTCAATCTCCCCAGTGGGGACACCACAATGAAAACTTGACATATGGTCTCACCATTCAGAACTTCTAGCCCTGCCAGAAGTATTTTGTGTAGACACAGGAAACTTTCTGGGCAGGCTCGGACATGGAGGAGATCCATCGAGGATGACAGATTGGTTGGAATGTTGGTGTTATTTACTATCAGTGACTGGATGTTTGTTATCAAACCGCATGTTCTGTTTGGGGCTCGTGGAAGGGTGACCCCGGCTAATACTTGTGTACCATAAGAGGTTAATAGTGCTGTGTGTTGGAAGGGGAAATGAACAGTGTAATGCCACTGGTGACCCTCTTCCACATGAATAGTCATAGAGAAGGAGGAGGAAAGGAATTCATTCACAGCCCCCCTCCCTCTCTCTCCCATCCTCTCATACAAATGGACTGCTGTCCTGTCTGATGATCCCTGGGAACAACTGTTTGGAGAGACTCACTGGTCTCTTTCTTCTCCGGATTTCACTGAATGATTGAAGGGGACAGCAGGAAGATGCCAGTGTGTGTTCCCCAGTATTGAGGTAACATTAGATTTCTGCTTGTTCCAGAGGAAGTGGGGTAGGTAAAGATCCCCCTGTTATTTATATGGGCACATTGTTGGTTTGGGGGAGTTGAGTTTCAAAGGGAAACAACACCACAGGCGTAGCAGTATCTTTCACTTTTGTCAGTCATGTGATATGTGGTAAGGCGCACCTTCACACGTGTTTCACTATTACTTCCCCATCAATCACATTCCTGCTCTGCTCAGGTTTCACTGCCAGGATCCCATGTTTCTGAGCCCTCAGGACAGGCTTCCAGGGTTCTTTGTGAGATTCTCATTCTTGCTGATGATGAATCTCTGAAAGGAAAAATGAAACCAGAGGTTTCCCATATTGAATTACAGATACAGGAGGTAGTAAAGGCATATACTGTATCTTTTAGGTTGTAGCCTTGCTTACCATCTATTCTTGATTTTGTATTGTAACCTTATGGTCTTCCTTATATTGCCCTGTGCGAACTGTTGGCGATATATCAAACCTGTTTAATATCAATAATAATAATGTAAGTTGATATAAAGACAGTCATTGTTATATTACACAAGGAGGCTAGATCCGTAACAGTCTACATCCACACTTATAGGCCTTGGTAACACGGGCAGCCGAGAAGCGGTAAAAACAGAAGATCAACCTTTTTACAGCTCCGCCCCCCACAGCTCCCCCCACCCATCTAAAATATAGTGTCCGCTCATGATACTACACATGCCATAACCACAATGCTTTGCGCCTCAGCAAATTTTAAATAGGATGTTGCATTTGGCAGGAAGTGCCACTTTAGAAATACGACCGTTGCAATGAATGAGACTGTGTCTGGGCACGCAGTGGCAGTGCAGTATGACAATGGAGAATCCCCACAGGGTTTAAAAAGAGGAAAACAGCACTGAGGAGAAGGAAGTATTGCCTCCTGAATGCCGGGCAGCCACTGCTCTACCCCCCCTTTTAAAAGCAATCCACCGCAGTCACTTTTCAGAGGGGCAGTGGAGCCTACTGTCTGAACAAGGTCTTGTGTACATAGGCACTTTAGACAGGAACATCCCCATTATGAGACAGCAGAGCTCTGTGACGCTCTGTGTGGCTTCCCAGCTCACTGACATGACCAGGAGCTGGGCAGGACGCTCTGGCTTGCATCCCGACAAGCTCCTGGCAACTGGTGACGTCATTGAGCTAGGCGGGATGCTGGACAGAGCCGCTAACAGTGTGGTCTGGCATCTGCCCAAATCCCAACAACCACCCCCACCCCGGATGACAACTCAGCTCAACAACGGCGGGCTTCTTCTAACCCCCCTGTACCCCACCAAACCTGAGACGACAGTATACCTTAGGACAGCCCTGATTTCAGATGTTTAAATGCTTTTGCCCTGTGTTCACAGGGCGGGCGAGAGTAGGGGGACGTATGGCCGGCTAGTCCCATAGAGAAGCACGGGGGCTTCGTACTGATCACACGCAGCACGGAGCTGTACGTGCCGGCCGATTCCAGTGTGAATGAGCCCTTCATCTTTTGATGGATGAGAAAACTGTGCTGTGGGTACTCATTTTAGGTCTAGGGGGAGTCTGATGTCATGATTGGGTCCGCCAAAAGAGAACGGTTTCTTTTCTTTCTGGACCTAGATGGAGTACAGGGGTAATTGGATGTAAACGGATACATGTCCACCTATATCTTACTCCCCATACACTAACATTGTGCTTCCAATCAGATCTGCCTGAAAAACTGATAGGTGGACCTGATCAGAATGCCCGTGTGAAAGGGGCCTAATATTTAACCCTGAAGGTATTGCTTTAACTCTCAAACCATCTGCTGAGCACTTAGAACTTAAGTGGGCTGTGACCAGAAGAGACCAGAAGATCAAAGTGCTCATTTTGTACTTTTTAACTGCAATAGTGGTCCATAGTGTATCCACGGTGACTTCAAATTTGGCAGGCCTCTGCCCATCTTCTCTGTCCTCCATGATTTTGCCAGTGAGCTAATTCAGTGCATTTACATCTATAAATTTGTAAGCACCCATGTAGACTGGGATTTCCCAAACTGTATGTAATTACACGTGCTTCCACTGATCAGAAATCAACTCTACCTGGGGAAACTATAATGCTTGACAGTGGACTGTTGCAAGAAGTTTTCAGCCAGATCATGTGACCTAACCCCCGACTGAGCAAATCCCTGGAGCCAAGTAACCAATGCTCCTTAAAAATTCTGCTGGACCCTGAATTCCATATTAATTTGTTCACCAGTAACCCAAGCAGATGATTTTATAGTACTTTTAATTTTTTTTTTTTTAAAACATCACATTTTTATTGTTTACATAGTTACATAGTATTTGAGGTTGAATAAAGACATTAGTCCATCAAGTCCAACCTATTAGGATCTCATTCTAGGAGTACCTGTACCCCTGTATATTACGGTCCCTTAAGAAATCGTCCAAAAGTTTCTTGAACAATTCCACATTATTTGCTGAAATCACCGCCTGTGGCAGTGAGTTCCAGACCCTAACTGATCTTACTGTGAAGAACCCCCTTCGCCCCTTGTGCTGGAATTTTTTTTCCACCAATTTTAGGTGGTGGCCTCTAGTTTTTGTAATGGAGTTAATTTTAAACAGTTTATCGCTAATGTTGCTACCACCATTGAACATTTTGTACATGGAGATCATATCCCCCCTTAATCTCCTCACCTCCAATGTGAACATGTTTAAATTTAGTAGCCTTGTCTCGTAGCTCTGGTCCTCCATACCCCTAATTAGTTTGGTTGCCCTCCGCTGGACTTTTTCCAACTCAAGGACATCTTTTCTTAGTACTGGTGACCAGAACTGGACCGCGTACTCCAGATGAGGTCGAACCAATGATCTATAAAGTGGCAAAATTATAGACTTGTCCCTGCAATACATCCCCTTTTTAATACAGGACAAGACCCTGCTAGCTTTGTTTACAGCAGCCTGGCACTGCAAACTACCTTTCAGTTTGTGGTCTACAATGACCCCCAAATCCTTCTCCATTTCTGACTTCCCCAGCGGCATACCCATAATTGTATAACCCATTTGTTTATTTTTAATTCCAAAGTGCATTACTTTGCATTTATCAACATTAAACCTCATCTGCCACATTAATGCCCACTCCCCTATTTTATCCAGGTCCTCCTGTAATGTTATAGTGTCTAAGTCCGTGTCTATTACCCTCCCTATTTTGGTGTCATCCGCAAACACGGAAATATCGCTGTTAACACCCTCCCCGATGTCATTAATAAATAAGTTGAACAATATGGGACCCAGCACAGAACCCTGTGCTGTAAGTTATAAGCCGGTGGTAGACAAATGTGGAATTCGAGAGCCAGATTTTCCAACCTAGGAGCCACCAGGATTTTCTCAATAGCAGCCAACTTGATTGGAAACGACTAAGGAAAATCTCAGAAGTTAGGTTCCAACTAATGTTTAAGGATCATTGGCTACTGAGATTTGTCCAGCCCTGCTGTAAGTAAAGGTTTTTATTGTAGTCATTCAGGGTTTCTCTACAGTACTCATTTGGTGGCTTGCATTTTAAATCTCCTCCTACCAGTTTACTTGCCACCTACATAAAGAATGGAATATGTCCCTTTTTTCAGAATTAGTTTCCAGAATGCTGCTTGATGCCTCCAGACTAAACTACATGTTTGCGTGATCATGTCTCAGCCCCTAAACTCTGTGTTTGGAGACCCTTAAGCCAGGTATATATGCTTCGAATTTCGGACGGTTCTTGGTGAACCTGGTGAAATTTGATGCATGAGTGCCACTGTCGGCACCTTTCTGATCGGCATCCCTTGATCACAGAGCTAGCAGCCAATAAGCCGGCGGCCGCCATCGGAATACAAAGGAACAGCAGGAGATTCCTCAAACAACACGTGTTGATGGAGGAATCTGTTCTATTTTCTTTGTTCAGCTGGTAGGTTGAATGAAGAAAATGGAAGCATGTATACCCGACTTAAGTTGATAGAACTGGTGATCATTCATTAAGATTCCATTTAGAAACAGTTCCACTTAGAAATTTTGGGTATTCCAAAACCATTGCAAAGTTTGGATCCCATAAAGTGAAGTCTCGGGCTACAATTTAAAGGTTTGCTCATTTCTGTATTAAAGGAGAACTATGAGGTGAGTGATTTTCACTCATCCTCATAGTTCTAGCCGACCTGTGACAATGAAAATGTCACAGGTCGGCTCAGTAGATCGGGAAGTGAGCGAGCGCCGGTATGTGTTCGCTCACTTCCCGATCTACTGAGCCGACCTGTGAGCCGCTCGCTCGCTTCTCGATCCTGTCACTGCAGAGAAACGTGACAGGGGAGGGACTGGATTTCCCCCTCACCTGTCCGATCCTCCAGCGCTGACTGGCGCGACGGACGGGGGAGGGGGCGGGTACAGCTGGCCCTGCCTCTAGATGGGCAGAGCCAGCTGTCACTCACGCAGCTGGGCAGATCCAGGCATAATTGTCGGGATCCGTTTCAGCTGCGGTGTATCATTATACCACGAGCTGTATACTGAGCTTTGGGTGACGGGAGGACGCTAGTTTGTGTCCTCCCGTTACCCTTAGGAGAACAATGGTGAAAAGCCCTGACCCCATAGTTCTCCTTTAAGTCATTGGTATCGCTGTTTGAACTGGTAAAATGACCTAATAAATACCTTGGTAAACTTGTATGACTTTATATTGTGTGCTTTATGAATTTATTTTAATACTGCAGTGCAGCAGAACTTGATGTCTGCACATTATTTTCTAGTAAGGTTGAGTGTTTTCTATGTGTATGGTGGGAGGGGCTTGTTTGTCCTTGACACATTCTCAGAGATGGACTTAATTTCCTGCTACAAGACCAAGGCTTTTCAGAGTAATAATATTTTTCCTTCCAAACAGCACATCCAGAAAAGAAGGACACTCTGGTAAACAGCTATTTCTTTTACATAATTTTATGGGGGGAGGTGGGGGTTTTCCCTGCTAGCATTAAAGTGACACTAAACTTAGGCGATAAACCTTAAAAA